ATTGGTCCAAGTACAGAACATTGTGGAACTCCATGACTAACTGTAGTATTTATGGAAGATTCATCGTTAACATGTACAAACTGAGAACGATCTGATAAGTATGACCTAAACCAGCTTAGTGCGGTTCCTTTAATGCCACTAGAGTAGCGTTGCATGATTCACACTTCAAAAACATCCTTATTTATCATTAACTAGTGATTCATGCAGTGTCTCAGTTTCTTCTGTCTCTGAATACTTTTTTCTGGTGTTCTCTCTAATGTCCCGTTGCTCTGCTTCAAATATTAATGAGTTACGGAGTTTCCTGATGAAAATATATCCATAGCTACTTTTTGTTAGCTACTTTGCTAAATGTAGCTGCTGCTGTTAGCTGGTTAGTTTTGCAGCAGTTAAAAGTTAGCTAATAGCTAAAAGTAAATGGGATAAGTAAAGACACCAGACAAAAAACAGAGCAGAGCAGTTTGATATCTCTGTGGCTCAACCATGCTCTGCCTGTAACCGATAACCATATAAAGAATTTCCATGACACCAATGAAAATGACGTTGGAAACATTATATCCTCCTGCCACATGTCGAAGTATCCTTGAGCAAGATACTGAACCGTGAACACTTGAATGTGTATGAATGCGTTTCTGTTCGATGTGTGAATGTGTGTGAAAGGGGGCATGTAGTGTAAAAGTGCTTTGAGTGGTCGGAAAACTAGAAAGGCGCTGTATAAGTACAGGTCCCTTTACCATTTACCATATATATAACAGAAACTAACTTTTAAAAAACCTTTGAAGAAAGGTACAATTGAAATGACCATGGATTCCAATGGTGACCAATAGTTAAACCATCAAATTCAAAAGTGTCAAAAGTACAATCCACTTATCCTCTGTTGATTCATATATCAATATTCAAACCATAACTAAAAAGACAACATCTGTGACATGCTTTTAACTTTTCTTTGAATTGAATTAAATTTTATTTGGACTTTCAATTCAACCTACCAAGTTAATTTGCAGTTCCAACAAATGTTAACCACAAATGCTCCCACCTTTGCTGGAGAATAAATTAATTTGAATTAAAGCTGTATGTATGTATCAGATTTTGGTTACCTCATCAGCCTCTGCAATTTGACAGATAACTTCACCAGTTGCTGGGTTGATGGTAGGGAAAGTTTTCCCACTCGCTGCATCCTGCCACTGGTTGTTGATAAATAGCTGAAATATTAAAATGGATAATTACAAAGGTTTCACAACATTTTATTCACTGCTGAATAAAACAACATAACAGGAGTTATTGTAAGACAGTAAGTTTAAAACTTCAACTTTCATTTTTTAAATTAACAAGAAATCACATACTTCCACCTCTGTTCATCATGCTACTGTGAATCTTCCCCCTGCAGAGCAATACACTCTTATCTTCAATAAGGTCTTAACCCTAACCCTTGCCATATAAGGATGAGGTTTTGTCTTAGAATTGCCACTTCTGACATTTCTTGAAATTTTCTTTTGCACTAAGCTTTTAGGGAGGTTTTTAACCCTAGACCCTAATGGCTCATGACTGACAGCGGCTCCAAAAAAGGTTAGGTATTCTTTTCAATATCAAATTAACCTATCATTAATAATAGAATATTGTATGTAAAATGTACTAATAAAACTTAGTTTCTTTTTCTTTTCTTGTTTTTGCCAAAAAAGTAAGACCCCAGATTGTCTCTGTATTGCCCAAACACCCGACCCCATTCACATAAAATAGTTCATTCCTGGCCCCTCACTGTGATGAGCTCTTCAAAAGTGAAGCGAAAGAAAAGAAGGGGTTACAGTATGTGACCCAATTTTTCACAAAGAAAGGTGGGTGTAGTCTGTAAGTGGTGTGGCTCAGGAGGTAGAGCGAGTCATCCACTAATCCGATGGTTGGGGGTTCAACCCCCAGCTCCTTCTGCTGCATGTTGAAGTGTTCTGAGCAAGATACCGAACCTACAACAATGGATTAGTTTTTGTTTGTGATGAGTGCCAACACTGTATTAAAATGGGGGAATGTGTTATGTAGTTTAAAAGCGTGTTGTGTGGTCACAAGACTAGAAAGGCACTATACAATAACAGACCACTTACCATTAACCTGTTAGCTAGTGTTTATATTTTATTCCTCTTTTAGCTGACATTTAATCAATGCAGGCAAATCTTTAGCAACTATTCATACTAAGCTATATCATCAGCTATAACATTATGACCACCTGGGCACCCTGACTGGTCTATGGCTACGCAGCCCCATACAACAAACTTTGATGCACTGTGTGTTCTGACACCTTTCTGTAAGAACACACAGTAGCTTGTCTGTTGGATCAGACCACAGGGGCCAGCCTTCACTCCCCACATGCATCACTGAGCCTTGACCACCTTTGACCCGGCCGCTGGTTCACCACTTTTCCTTCCTTGGACTTCACTTGTCATTGCTCATAATGTTTTGACTGATCAGTTTACAGTGGGTACGGAAAG